AGTAGAAAGTATTTGTTTATTGATTTAAAGCAGTGGTGCTAAGTTATCTGATAAATGAAATTATTAATAAATGTATGTTGAATTAAACTTTTTTTTGCCCTCCTATAAGAGATCTGCTTTTACTAACAGTTAAATAAAACATGAGCATTTATATGTGAGTTAAAGAAATCAGGTGTGTGGCTCCTGGGTGGCTCAGCTGGTCATTTGATTTTGGCTCAGGTCATGATCTCAGGGTCTGAGATCTGCTTCCCCTCTTCCTTCCCCTCTGCCCTCCCCCTACTCGTGCACACTCTCTCTAAGAAATCTTAGAAAAAAAAAAAAAAAGAAAAAGAAGAAGAAGAAGAAGTCAAGTGTATTTTTTAATTTTGGGAAATGTGACCCACTCCTGTCCTCTTAGAGGCACTAGACACGGTATCAGAAAATAGCACCTGGTAGGCAAGATGATGTTTGTTTTGGAATAAGAGTTGTTTTTAAACGCCAAGATCAACCTGGTCAATGGTAATTTCTATTCTTCTTTGTTTTCTTTCTTTTTTTGCCAAACCCATTTTGACTGACTGATTTCCTTACCTTCTTTTTCACCTTGAGGAAAGCCTCCTTCTATAAACCATGTGAGATTTGCTGTGGGAAATACATTCCTCAGGGAGCAGGTAAATGTTCTCTGGGGGTAAAGGAAGAACATAGAAAGGCTTATTTGCAAATTCAGAAGAAACTGGTACCCCTTACAACCCCACCAACTCTTATATGCGGCAAATTGGCAGGAAAGGATTTTCTCTACTTTTGACAAAGCTGTGTTTACCTTTCAGAGGTTATGTGAAAATGTGAGCTACAAATTGGCTGTCTCCTATAGAGATGTCATGAATTCAGAGCTGGAATCATAGGTTAACTTATGAAGAATCTAGGACTAAACTAATGTTGCAAGTCTGGATTCTGGGTTCTGGAGAAGGCAGATCACAACTGCATACAGGAAGAATAAAATAATACTAGATGGAAGTCAAAGACTAGAAAAATGGAGAAGCTCTAACAGGCAGAAGCCAGACAAGAATATTCTGTTAGACTAAAAGCTAAAAGATATCCATATTTTGGTTGTTTCCACTCCCAAAATAATGTAAAGTACTACTTATAGCCATAACCACAGACACCGTTATTATAAACATCTCATTTTTGACTTGTAGAGAATTTATGTAATTGGTTTTTCATTTTATCATCTTAACAATCCTAGAGGGCAGGTAGGACATGCCTTATCATTGCCATTTGACAGATGGGGAAAGCAAGGCCCTGAATCAACAGAATAGTGAAAGGGAGTGGAACGTAGTCAATGGCACAATTGGGAACTCTGCCACTCCAGTCCCAGTCCAAGATATTTCCTGGTAAGACACATTGTACTGAAACATGAAAGAGACAGAACAGGTAGCTTATGTTACAAAACCAGAAAGGTTATAGGGGTCAGTTATGTTTTACTTCCAACACCGTATTTGTTCTTTGTGAGATGATAGTTTATTTCAATAGCCTGGTGAAAATATCCAATAAGACTTTATAGGATCCTCATTATTTTATTGGAGACACTGCAAAATTATAATCCCATTTGTAGTTTTTTGTTTTCTCATCAAGAGATATATGTATTTCACACACAGCCAGCCCTGGTTCTTGTTCTCAAATAATTTCCATAATGGATGGATTCACTAGTTAACTAGTAAAGAACAATGAACTATACGTAATACTTGGGGTGCCAATTTCCCCACAGACTAATAACACCCAGAGAGTCTGGTCCTGAGCAGAGTTGAGAAACCAAATTTAAGGATACTAGAGTAGCATTTTCTGGTGAGGTCCTACGGAGGTACAGTTTAGCACCCTCCCCATACATCTCTACAAAAAGCCCAAGGAAATCACGAGACTGTCTGTGGAATGCAGAATGGCACGTAGAGAACATGGCAGCTGCCAGTGTTTCCACTCATTCTTCACTTGACAATGGGGACATGTGCGTGGATCAGCCACACAGACCCATGACATAATGTCACTTTTTGTCCTGGAAAATCAAATGTAAAACCAGGTCCCCTAAAATATAATTTATTTAATAAAGAAAAGAGGGTTCAATTTCTTTAATTCAGTAAAATGCCAAAGATTGATGTTTATCTTCAGGTGGTCCAGGAAGGGATGTAAGAGTTACAGGAAATGAAATTAAAAAAAAAAAAAGTGGTAAAGGTTTTTATTAACGGCAATACTTTAAACCACTCTCATGACTCATTTTCTCCATGCTCGGTTAACCCACCATCAGATGATGATACGGTAATATCAGGAACAAGTAAGGGTTCCATTATTTTATAAAGGCAACAGGCTTACTGAAGAAATCTCTTGTCAACATAATAAAAATATTAAAAAACTTTAACTCTTGTGGATTCTCTGAATTCAGATTTTATGGAGTGAGTCACATTTCAAATACTCTCTTACCACCTCCAAACTGTGTTCCAAGATTTTTGTTTCAGAATGTGGTTCTTGTCCTGAACTCCTCCCTCCCAGTCTCTCTAAATTCGAAAAGCCACAGACTTAACCAGCTCAAAATGAAGTCAAACCTCTTATGAAACATCGAGTTTAGAGGGTTTTGCTGAGCAAGCGGAATTACCGCTGTTTGGGAACTTCCAAATGAGTCAGAAGAAAAACATGTTAAATTAAAAAAATATATATGAAGTAAATATGGACAAGAGTTTGTGTGTATACACCCATGAGTGTACACACACAATTTCCTCACGGAGAAGTCACAATCACTCGCTCACTTAACGTGCGGCTGTAGCATTCAGGAGACAAGCCAAAAAATTGGTTTCTCTAACACATTTTTCTAAGTATACACAGAATATCTATGCAATTGCACAAAGAATGATGTAGTAAGTGGCAGAAAATATTTGGGGAGTTCTGTAGGACAGCAGAGAAGGGTGAACTCTGGGAATAGGAGAACAGAATTGTATTTTGCATACAGGAAGAGAGGGGCCTGGATTCTACAGATGGGCTGTTGCATAAACTAGTGGGGAATTCACAAAGATGGAGAGATGGAAAGGGTTCCTGTGAGTTGGGGCATTTTCCTGGCAGCAGAGGGAAGCCGGCGGGAGATTGGAGCATGAGACTGAAGAGTCAGGAAAAGTGAATTCACATCTGGCTGTAAGAATGATCATTTCCTTTTTTTCTGTAGATGAAATACTGAAATGCTGACCATTTGTAAATTAGCTCAGATTCAGTTTGCCTAAATTTGGGCAGAGACTTTTCAGAAGGGCTTTCCGCAGAATCATTAAAAAAATTTTTTTTTAGTTTAGAAAGAGGAATCTTTTTTTTTTTTTTTTAAAGTTCTCCTATTTGTTTACTAACTCTTCATTTCTCTTTGGAATCTTTTCTCCCCTCAAGCTTCTTTCTTCACTTGAAATTCATCTTTCAGTCTCTGTTTTCTAGTCTGCCATTTCCATCTTTTCTATAACTCAAGCATTTTCCTTCTACAGACACCTTCTTCAAAATGTTCCTGTCTCCTCTTGGTAGGTTCTTCCTCCTAAATATACATATACATAAATATAGCATTTATGTGACTATTATGTGACTATTCTTTTATTTCCCTCCAGTGAGAATACAAGCCAATAGCAATTCAACCTTGCCAATTCCAGTTACATAATATAATAAAAAGCAACCTCAAATCTGTCTCTCAACTTCTTAGATTTCTTTAAACTTGGGAGGTTTCCTTTCACTTAATCTTCCCTTTCTTGCAAGTTCTTTTCCATTGACTGTATTTACAACTTTCATAGTTTCCAAACCCAACGTTGAGACTCATGGTCTGACAATTGGACAAAATATTTGAAAGCACAGATGTCGTTGAGGCCTGTGGTTTCTCTGCTGAAATCTCACCCTTTTCCCCTCTTCAGTATTTTCCTTTGCTTAAGGGGCCAGATGATCGAGTTATCTGGAAACAGAGCTAAGACTTGTAGGTGCTTGACTTATTGTTTTATTACCAGCCCTGTTCCAGGAACCTCTTTTTTGGGGTGGGGGGGGACAGAGACAAAGTTTGCCTCAGTGTGTGGGCAGGCTTGGACACACCCACCTGGAAAGAAGGCTTCCCTGGATGTGGGAGGGAACAGGAACTGCAGGTGCCCTCCCCCTGGGGGCAGGAGTCAGCTAATAGCTACCCACAGCGTGCAGGAGTGCTCACCCCACACCAGAGCCCTCAGAGACACATTCAGAGCCTTGCTTGACTGTAAGTACCCATTTGTAGGGTTGGGGAGGTGGTAGTGTTTCCTAACTCTTTAGGGTTGCAAAGCTTGACAAAGAAGGCTCTCCATTACTTAAGAAATGACCCCCAAAAGGAGAGAGATGTCAGGCTATTTTTTACAATGTAATTTAATTATTCATCTATTTATTTCGGTGGGGGTGAATCAGGCAAAAGTCTGGAGCAAGCGGCCATCGGGAAGGTCTTCTCAGCTATTGGCTTTGCAGGTGATGGTGCCAGGGAAGGTGCTGTGTAAGCTACTTGCTGAGGACCGTCGGGCGACAGGTGTGTGGAGATGTGACCCACCTCCTTCTCCTCTGTCCATGCCAGCTTGTCCTGCTGAAAACAGCTAAGCCTGCTGTTCGGAATTCTTAGAATCTCATTCCCAGAGGGACCTACCTCTCTAGGGGCAAACTGACCTCACACTGGGAACTTTATTGCCCAGAGTTTGGACTGCCTGTTGCACCAGTTCTCGGGAAGTGCGAGTGTCTCCCACATCAGCATCTCTCTGGGTGTGCTTCTCCCTACTCTGAGGAAGGCCAGTGACGCCCCAGCCCTGGACGTCGTGAGCAGCCTGAGGGTTCAGAGCCTCCAAAACTCATTTATAGGCATCCACGAGCACAGAAACAGTGGAAGCAGCCAGGAGGGAATCAAGAGGAAAGCCGACATTGCCAATGTTCAGAAACATGCGGGATGGTGCTTGATCTGTAGAGGACCCTGAATTCACTGAAGAACTTTGTGATTTCTGGGCTTTGCCTTTCTGGTCTAGACAAGGAGGGATCAATACGCATCTGGGGACTGGAGATAATGTACATGGGAGCCTCAGAGGGCTTTTCATGTGGCTCTGACTCACCCTGACTCTCCCGTGAAGTGGAAAGGAGGAAACACCACACCACTCAGGTGTGGTCAGCCTTTGACCATTGTTGTGAATGCCCAAAAGTTACCACAGTCCCTTCCCAATTACTCATTTTGCTTTAGCTGTGGTTGAGCTAAGACTTCTGGCTCAAGGAAAGCTGCAGAAGAGGAGACAGGATGAGGCGGGAAGAGGAGGAAGAGGAGGGAACCAGGATGAAAGCAAAAGGAGACCTAGAGATGAAGGAGGAAGAGGCAGTGAGTGAGAAGGGAGAACCGGTTGGTCCTTTCATGAGAGCCATGCCCGCCCCTCTGCCGCACAACAAGGGGACCCGGTTTTCAGAGGTATGGGAGTATTTCCACCTGGCCCCTGTTCGTGCTGGCCACCACCCCAACCAATACGCCACCTGCCGCCTGTGCGGCAGGCAGGTGAGCCGTGGCCCTGGGGTTAATGTGGGCACCACAGCCTTGTGGAAACATCTGAAGAGCATGCATAGAGAGGAGCTGGAGAGGACTGGCCATGGTCAGGTGGGGCAGCGCAAGGACCCGAGGCCCCAGGGGCCCCAGCTCCCCATAGGGATCGAGGGCGACTGGGCCCGGCTCCTGGAGCAGGTGGGGGCCCTGGCGTTGTGGGCCAGCCAGAGGGAAAAGGAGGTGCTTAGGAGGGAGAGGGCCGTGGAATGGCGGGAGAGGGCAGTGGAAAGGCGAGAGCGAGCCCTGGAGGAGGTAGAGAAGGTCATCCTGGAGATGAAGTGGAAGGTGAGGGCCGAGAAGGAAGCCTGTCAGAGGGAGCAGGAGCAGCCTGCCTTGGCTCATCCCTTCCATTTTGTGTAATCAGCCTGGGAGGTATCTGTTCGGAAAACACAGACTTGAGGCTCACAGCAAAGAGCCACGTTAGTGTAAATACAAAGTATTTTGTTTTTAAGAGACAGAGTGCACAGCCGGTTAATCTCAGCAGGGGTCAGCTGACCAAACACTTATGTACAGGGTTCCTAAAGCTGTCCTGATCAAAACTTCAAAATGCATTAACTGGAGATAAATGCTGTTTTGCCATCATGGGTCTGTGAGTTTGGGTAGGGAACGAACCACCCTGCTGTGTTGCTGAGTGAAAATAACGGGATTTATGCTTTGTACTCGGTTTTGGTGGAGCTGAGGGTTCGGATAGGTGGGGCTGGTCAGGTGGCTGGAATGTCCCTATGTGACCAGCTCACTCTAAGAGACCCCACCAGGAGCCGGGCTCAGGGTTCCTGGGGCCCAGGCCTTTGCACACATCCCGGTGGTCAGTTGAGAACTGGGGACGGAGCTTGTTCTGTGCGGCCCAGCTGTGCATGGACATAGAAGCCTGCTCCTGAGATCTCGGACCCCATCTGGTGCAGGTCTTTCTCCCACTGGTGCTGTGTTGTACTACCTGCTCACATTAAAGCTGTGTCACCAGCACAACCTGTCTGAATCCTGTAAGTCTTTCCAACAACCTAACACATACATCATTCATGTGTGATCAGCACAGAGAGAACTGAACTTTTCAGCCCACTCAGATGAAACAGTAAGAACAGAAGATATAGAAACTGATTCATAAATATTTAAAAATATAATCCAATTTCATATTAAGGTCTGTTGAAGAGGGGTTTCATGAGGAAGAGATGAGAGAAACTCAGAAAGGAAAAGGGAAAGGTGGAGAGATGGGGTGAGGAAGGAGAAATAAGGAACAGAGGCAGCAAACCAGAAAAGAAAGAAAAAGGGATAGAGAAGAAGTGTGAACACAGAAGAGAGACGGATCCCCTCCCCCACCCCCCCCGGGGGGGTGGATTTCACCTTGAGAAGATGAGAGACCTGGGAGACTGAGGGACAGAGAACATTTTCCTAGGTTCTGAGGTCAATTTTTAACACTTAGGTTGCATTTGTTTTGTCCCCTCAGACCCCTCATTCACTTGAGCTATAGGTTTGAGATTTTTATCCCTGTCTTTGAGATGCTGGCTGCATGCCAACTGTTCCCTGATTTTTTGAAAAAAATGTTCATTTTTAAATACTCAGAGATGCTTTGAAAAAATGGAAGCTAATAGTCTATAGGGAGAGAACAATTCCCTGGGCTGTTGAGAATACGCCAAATATGTTGTTCACTCAGGAAGAGAATAAAACCAACTGGCAAGGAGTGTGGCCTTTGTGCTGGAGCTGACTTTTATTTTGAATGATTCCTCTAGAACCTTTTTTTTTTTTAAACTGGGTTGGGGGTGGGTGAGGGGTGGTGGGAGCTGGGAGACAACAGCTAATAAACACAGTCTTTCATTGTCTCATAAATAAGCCCAAGCCCTTTACGGGCAGGCAACAATCTTCTAGAAAGCAGACTAGATCCTGGTATAATGATGGCTTCTTGCCTGGCTCTGTCCTTACCTGTGTGTGGCTCCCTCTTAGTGCTTGTTCTTAGACTGTCTGCAGTTCTAACAGCCACATCTGTCTTCTCTGCGAGCTGTTTGTAGAACAAGCACAAGTCCAAACACAAGCTTGTGAAAAACCCAGACTGTTCTGCAGACTTGTAATCTCCCTTTTTTCTAGAAACCAACCTGATATTAGAGATTTCACTTCCCATATGGATTCCCAAAGGAGTATGGTGCCATTTCAGGGCCCTCTCCAGCCGGGGTGCGAGCTCAGGGACTCACCACTGCAAATGATGAGGGCCTCTAGGAGTCCCGTGGCTGGACATTGGAAATCAGAGCCTTATTGTGTCGTAAGACAGAAACAGAAAGAAAGAAAAAGAAAGAAAGAAAGAAAGAAAGAAAGAAAGAAAGAAAGAAAGAAAGAAAGAAAGAAAGAAAATAAAGGGATGAAGGAAGAAAGGGAGGGAGGGAGAAAGGGAGGGAGGGGGAGGGAGAAGGAGAGGGAGAAGGGAGAGAGGGATGAGGAGAGGGAGAGCAGAGGGAGAGAGGGAGGGAAAGGAAGGAAGGAAGGAAGGATGGGAGGTTGGAAGGATGGATGGATGGAAGGAGAAGAAAAGCTCTAACACCTAATCTTAAACCCATACACACGTATACACACGTACACTTGAAATGGAGTTTAAGAAGGACAAAGAACCCACAAAGTTTCAGGCTTTTCAAAATCACAATTAAATAAAGGGCAGCAGTGAAAATCTTCAAAGAGCCACCAGAGTCATACTGCTGAATGGTAATATGTATTTTTAGAGTCTGGCATCTACTTCACATGTCTCCTATGATTTTAGCTTCTCTTCATTTTCAGGCTTTTTTTTTTTTTTTAAACGATTTACTTATTTATTTTTGAGAGAGCATGCATAAGCGTGGGGGAGGGGCAGAGGGAGAGGGAGAGAAGCAGAGCTGAGCTTGGAGCCTGACACAGGGTTCAATCCCATAACCCTTAGATCATGACCTGAGTGGAAATCAAGTCTGATGCTTAATCTACTGAGCTACCCAGGTGCCCCGTTTTCAGGCATTTTAACCCCAATTACCTTTGTTTCTTGTTTCATGTTAGGTAGCTCTTCTTATATATATTTTTTTCACCTAACTTTTGTCAAACATAATAAAGGTAGAGAATAACAAGGACAAGATCCACAGAGATGATGGCATTAAAGCAGAAAGCACAGGAATGAAATAGAGACACATGTGGCTCATGGAAAGTCCGAACTATTGCATAAACTCTGGAGTTTTCATGCATCTCTCTTGTGCCTTCGTTTGCTGCATCATCAGAGTACGGTATACAGGGCCGGGGTTGTGAGCTGATGGCTTTCTAGGCCAGCATCTTTTATTGGAATACAAAGTCTGGTATAGGACGGGGCCCTGTGGTTTCAGTAAAGACTCCCTTTCCAGGTCAGCTGCAGGGCTGAGGCTGTGCGCCATGCTGGGGCCCTGGTTAAGCCTTGCCATGGAACTCACAAGAATATGACACCCACAGGTGTGACACTCTGCTTGGACAAACCTGGCATGTCAAAGCCTGAGAAGCATCATTGTTAGGATAATCTGGGGGCTTTTCTATTTTGCAGGAAAAACGAATTAACCACAAACATAACTCATAACTGACCAAATCCCTATTACTTTAACACCAAGGGCTGCTGGTGTAGTGAATACATAGCACATAGTAGGCATCTCTTAGGAACATGTTGGATTAATTTCTCAGGAATGAAGAGGGGGTTGGAAATTACCATGAACCAACCCTATGGTTGCCAGATGGTAGATACTTTGCAAATGTTCTCTCACTTAATCTTTATATCACTCTTGAGGGGTTGGAATCATTGTCCCTGCTCACTGATGAGGAAGCTAAGGAATCAAGGTCCCAGGGGCCAGAGTTAATAAATGATGGAGAATTCAGACCCAGGCCTGTCGGATTCCACAGTCTATGTTCCGTTTTTTTCATTATCCCACACTGCCTCCTAAAATCAATCACATGGAAGATTTATGAACATATATTCAGATGAAGGGATGAGTGAAAGAGAATAGGTGAATGATAAATAGTGGGAGGAGGGAAATGCTCCTGAGACATCTATCATGGACAAGGTACTCCATTACTGTGCATACATTTAATTCACCCAAGAACCCTGTGAAATATTAATCTTGATCCCAGTTTTAGATGACTTAGCTGAGACTTGTGGAGGTTAACTATTGGATGAAGATATGTAGCCAGGAAGTGGTCAGATTAGGATTCGACATTAGTTCTCTGTGCCCCTGAACCACAGGCTCCTCTCCTTACACTGCCCTGCCTGGAATCAGGGATGCCAAATGCTCGTCCTGGCTTTGCATTTTATCAGCAACTTAGTCAGTTGTGTAGACTCTCCGGGCCCCAATTTCTCATCGGTAAGATGACTCATGCTCTACCTTTTTCAGAGGCTCACTGAAAGCATGACTCGATAAAAGCATGTGAAAGCACTTTGAAGAGTTAAGAAGCTATTAAAAATACAATGGGGACTCTAAGAATATTAGGGTAAAGAATTACTAATGTTTGGCAGAACCCTAAAAGATCCACAGACATGCTGTGTCCTGTCTCTGGTTATAAAGAGTCAGTAAGAGATTACTCACTAATTCCCCAGGAAGGAAGGTTCTCTGAGTTGTCTAGTCAGAACCCAGGTAAGCATAGGTACAGAAGAGGAAATCGGATAACATGTAAGAGAAAGTCTTTTTTCTCTTTAACCAAAATTCTTGGTCCAATCTTATGGTTCCATATCTGGATTGAGTCCTTAGTACCTGTAAACATTGGCATAAAGGATCTTCAAGAAATCCTTATAAGAAACAAAAATACCTATCAAACATTGTGCCATGAGTTTGTTTTAGTCAAACTATTGAAATGAAATCCACTAATAAAGTTGGGATTAATTGTGGAAGAAAAAAATTTTAATCTTTTTTACATACTCAGATTATAACACCAATTATCTAAGAGACTAACACATAAAATCAACAGCAGACACAAGTATATTCTCATCTAAAACCATCCCACAGAGTCTGAGCTATGATTTGTATGCAGTTGTCAAATTAAATGACTGATATTCAGCAGGACCAGAAATCATAAGTTATTTAGTGTTCGAAGGACTAGAAGAAACTAGAATATGAGTGTAATTTTCTCTCATCCCATGTAGCAAGAAATGTTGAGAATTTGTGGGAATATTTATTTTACAACTTGGGATTTTGAAAAGCTTGAATTAAATCGAAGTGTCCCAAGACAGCTGATAGTAATAACAATATAGCAACAATCATAATGTTCACTGATGCTTAGTATCTGCCATATTTATACTAAGAGACTTCCACACATTATTTCATTTAATTCTTAAGAACAACAAGATGCAGATACCCTTCTTAACCTCTTCATAGAGATAGAAAAACTGACTAAAAAGATTGAAGTTTTTTGCCCAAGGTCACAGCCAGCAAGAAGAGCTGGCAAGTGAGCCCAGAACCCAGTGACTTGAGGCTGGGAATTACCTACAAGAAACTAAAGTCAGATGGCCCTCCCCGACTTCCCTTTTCCACCTGCCCTTTTTCCTACTGCCTGAGGAATAGCCAGGATTCTGAAGGAGTTACAGAAGGGCATCTTTCCTCTTGTTACTTCCAAATAAAAACTACAAGAAAGATGCTATAGGAAATAGATTAGAACAAATTAAATGCAGCTGAGCAAAGGTCTCATTCTTATACCAGGATTCACACTGCTTTCTGTCCTACTTTTCTTTCACTATCTTCTCCAGTTTTTATTAAGGAGAAATTTAAACTATTGAGACAATTTTTCCAGAAAATTTAAGGATTAATAAGGATTACAGATCACATGTTCTAAGAGCCCGAAGTCAGAAAGTAAGATTCCCATTTGGTTTCTAGGTTCAACTCAGTTTCCCTTCTTCCTCACCAGAAATTAATTGGCTGAGGGCCAAGGATTAAGGTGCTTTGAGAAAACATTCTGGACAATGATGCAACAAAACACACCTTGGCATATTATACTACAGATTTTCAAAAGCTTCAATGTGAC